CTGACCAGGCAGGCGTCCCGTCTGATCGAGAAGGCGTTCACGCCCCTGAAGAAGGAGATCGAGAAGAACGAGAGAGAGAACGAGGAGCTGGAGAGAGAGATCGTCCAGGCGGAGGAAAAGTCCGGCTCTCAAGAGGGGGTGGTCGCCAAGGTGGAGCAGCAGCACAGGGAGGACCAGGAGGAGGCGGACCCAGGTGGGTCAAGGTCACGGGGTTACGGCTTTTGTGACGTCTGGCAGGTGGTAGGGGGATGGGGCTGGTTGTGTGAAAGGTTGGGGGGGGAGGGGGTGTGGAGGGATCAGTGGATTCATTGCTGAACCGGTAAATCGTTATTGATTTCGCAGAGTACTTTTTTGTTGTTTTCTTTCTTTTAAAACATTTAATTTCATGTTTGTTTTTTTGATTAATTAATTAATTGATTGATTGGGTTTTTTTCTCTGGGGTGGGGGCGAAGGGGGTTGATACATCAACTGGTACGTGGCTTTATCCTCTATGAAAAAAACAAAACAGGGGTGACGGTCCAGAACAGGGGATAAAGCACTTCTATAATCTAAGTGACTAACATACCACCGTATTTATTCCTTTGGGAAGGTTGTTTTACAGTGACGTACCAAAATACCAAATGAATATATTTACTGTACAATTTCAAAATGACGCATTATACACAATAGCACAACAACTATGGAGAATCCACGAGACATTGCTGGTCGCCGCTGGACATCACAGCACATGACTTATTCGTATTCCTCCTTTCAGCTCTTAAAAAAAAATACGTTCTTCTCTTTTTCCCAGGAAAACGTGTGGAGAAAGAATGGTCAAAGAAGCTTGCCTTGCGCTGTGAAGACACTTTCAGCAAAGGTATCACCTCTCCATCGCCCACCCTCCCCTTCCACTTGTAACAATTAAAGTTTTCCCCAACTACCATGCACACTGCTTCGAACAAATTGTTATCCGCCCCCCCCCCCCCACACACACACACTTTCTTTTTTTTTTCAACTGTTACTACTCAACGACCCTTCATACTGCTTTAAATAAATGAATTATCCTCCTCCTTCCCCATCCCCCCCTTCTCTTTCACCCAAAAATCATCATCCCCTCCCCCCTGGCACCCTTTCAAATGCTTTTCCCAACAACCCTGCATACTGCAATTTAAAATTAATGACCCCCATCCCTCTTTTCCCACAGTCTTGTATACAGCTTTAAACAAATTAGTCATCATCCTTCTCCCCACTCTCCCTCCACCCTCCTCTCCCCCATCTCCCTCTCTCCCCCTCCT